AAAATTGGCATCTGTAATTTTTTTAAAATATAAATTAGTACCTCAATTTTTTTTCCTCGATATGAGATAAATAATTTTAAAGTACCTGAAACAAGTAAAGGTCGACCATCCGGGCCCGATATGACATCATCCGGCATGTTCAACTTTTTTAAAAGACTCTCTGAAAGAAGTTTTTCTGGCATGCAAGTCACATCGGCTCCAGTGTCTACTAGAAATTTTTATTTTATGTTTAAAATATTCTACTTTTAGTTTACAAAACCATTGTGACATTAGGTCTGAATTTTGATTAGACCAACCATTAAACCTAAAAACCCTTCCTGACTGTTGTCGTCTTCTTCCGAACTAGACTCCTCTGGTTCTTTCTCAACCGACCTAACACTTTTATTTTTACATGCTTTGGACCAATGCCCGACCTTTTTGCATCGTGAGCAAGTTGTCCTTCGTGCAGGACACTTTTCCCTTGAGTGTGGTTCTTTGCCACAAAAATAACATTCTGTCTCTTCCCTATTCTGTGACCGCCCTGTCCTCTGCTTGCCCTTAGGGTTTCTCTGCTCTCTGCTCTTTTCTTTTACCCATGGCATACACATATTTTCCTGGGCATTCGCTATTTCTTGAAATATTGCTCTGTTTAAAAAGCATTTCAGATTGTTTTGCCTCTACAATCGCATCCTCGAATTTTAAATCAGATTTTAGCTGCAATCTATCGCTTAAATTTTGGTCCAAAATACCATCGACAATCCGATCTCTTATAAAATAATTTTTCATAGCCGTAGAGCTACAATTTGAGCAAACAAATTCACAATGCTCCGACAACACATGCAAATCTGTTTTTCTACAGGCTCACCTGGCTGTTGTTTCCTTCTATTGAAACGTGCCCTTTCAAAAACGACATTTTTCTTAGGGAAAAAATGGGTATCAAAACCAGCCAGTGTGGCTGGAAAAGTGTTTGGTGTAGGATCTGGAAATTGTAGTAATATATTCTCACTCTCTGGCCCCATAATATAAATCAGAATATCGATTTTCTCTGCATCAGACCTATTACTTAACCCCGATACTGCTAAGTACCTCTCGAACCTTCTTTTCCAGGTATTCCAACCTCCCGGCTCTCGAAAATTGAATTTATCGGGGGGTTGTACATGCACACCATGGTTTGCCATTGTAAGACCTGCACTGCCACCGGCACTTCCCATACCTAGAACAATGTTACCTGTTTGGCCACTTCCAGTCCCTGTTTGACCACCTCTGGTTTGTCCTTCACCACCGGTCCCTGTCTGGCTACCGCCTGCGCCTGTGTGGTTTTCTGCGTTGATCATGGTTTTATTTCTGCCCATTCCACAACTGTACCGTCTTATATCACTTTTGCTCGCAAAAATTTCAACTTCCGACTTTTACCGCTGCCACCATGTTTTAGCGGAGGCTTCAATGAATGGTAACACAGTTGGATGGGATATTTTATGTACTTTATTACAGCTATGCAAAATATAACATAAAGGAACAACGTCCGTGATGACAATTAAAGTTGACAATTTTACAATTACCTTTTTTAACCAGTATTACCGGTAAACTGAAACTGACGCTGATACAACAAATATCAGAAACCTGCAAGGAGAAATCAAGGGGTCACGGTTTCCGGAAGAGCTCTACCTTCTTACCTTTAAAGTTCAAAAAAGTTAAACATAAACTTAAATTTGACTACCTAAAGATTTTACATTGGTTTACCTTATAAAACTACCACATGTTTAAGGTTAACGAATCCACAATATATTATATCGATCAGTACTCGATATTACGGACATAAATTTATAATAATCACAATAATGCATACTTATTGGATAATAAACAATTATTGAGAAAACGATAATTAAAGTCAATAGCTGCCTCTGATAATAATTAATTAATTAAATTAATAATTAATTGTAAGCGGTAGCTATTCGGTATAGCTAAACACTACTATACGGTAAACAATTAACAGGATTGGGGATAACGGCTGGATTAATTACGTTTTCTTCTTTAGATAGCGGTAAAAAAAAAACAGAAATGAAAAACTAAAAATTAAACATAGATAGCATACAAAACAACAAAAATTTTTCAAAAAAAAAAAACTTTCTACAATTCCAACTTTATAGTCCTTATATAAATTTTATACCTATCTATACAGTTTTTATTTTAAATAATTCACTTACAAGTAAGTAATAATTTTGTAATTTTATATTTTTAACTTATATAATTTTATCCCTGAAGAAGATACAAAAAAGTATTGAAAGCTTGGTTAGCAATAAAGAATTATTTTAGAAAAATAAACTTGTTTGGCTGTTTTACCCGCTATCTAAAGAAGAAAACGTAAACAATTAAGTCGGTAATTGAATTCACAAAGATATTAATTAGCTAATGAAGCTGAACGATAGGGGGCGATAAAGAAAAGGTAAAAAATAAGTTACGGTAATTAAGATGGCACGTTCAAGATACCCATAGGAAAGTAATTATACAAGTCTGGACGGAAGCCTGGTAACGCTTCGGAAGTATTCACAAATTTGAGATCTGGAGGTACCAAACTGGCTGGAGACAACCAAATAATGGTTGCGGATCAACTTCTTACAGAACATCAACATTCCTTGAAAAGGGGGGCCCAGATTTGCTCTGAGTTTTCAGGACAGCGTGGTCTCAAATTTGTCAATTTTCAATCGGAGAAGTGCAGGCGCGTATTTTCCGTCCTGCCCAAGGTGCCTGAATAAATTGAGGGAATATAAGGACTCATTCATCAGAGAGAAAAAGGAATTTACATACCTGAACGGCCGATAGTAACCTCACTTTCCAAAATCTTCACAAAAATCAACAGACGGTGGATTTTCCAGGAAACTTTCTAATAGACACGACCAAGCACTCTTCTGGCTAGTTAATTTTCAAGAATATGGACTCGATGGCCAAAAACAAAGATAAAGTTTTAAGATTTTTAAAATTCTAAAAATTTGGGCGACCTGTTCGGTCCCAAAACAAAAGAGAAAAGGGCAAGTCGAAAGTACCCAAATTAGTTCTGTCTTTTCTTTCTTAATCTGTCAAGCTTATCAAAATTATAAAAATGACAGCGCTACAGGTGACTCGGAACAACAGAATTCTCGATATTAGGTTAGGAAAACTAGTCAGAAGAATCATAGATGTCGCTAGGTGTACGAAATAGTACTTTTAAATGAGTCCAAAACATATAAAAATAATCAAGAATAATAAATACCGGGTGGGGCATGAAAAACTTTCCACCCAGGTTTTTTCTGGTGTTAGGTGTTAAACCAAAAATCGCTCAGACACGTCAATTTTTGTTTTTTGGGGGACACATTTTTTTTGGTATTTTCACCCCTACCTGTGAACCCCTAAGTTGGGGTAACAGGTACCCCCAAAATTTCAAATGGAAAGAGGGGTCGAGTGATGTGTCATTTGGTAGCTATTTGCATTGAGATTATATCCCCGAAGTTTTAAGTTGCTACTAGTAACCCTGCCAAAATGGCGGCGTGTCAAAATTAGGATAAATGCCTTTTTTTCGATAATCTAAGCTGTATAGTTTTACCTGTCACATCTATGCGTAGGTAACAGGTGAAAACCATACCGCATTTTTCCATTGATTTTTCCTAACTTTGACAAGCCGCCATTTCGACAGGGTAAACAGTAGCAACTTGAAACTTCGGGGATATAATCTTAATGAAAATAGCTATCAAATGACGTATCACTCGACCCCCCGTTTCATTTGAAATTTTGTGGGTACCTGTCACCCCCACTTAGGGGTTCAAAGCTAGGGGGTGAAAATACCAATAAAATGTGTCCCCCAAATCACAAAAATTGACGTGTCTGAGCGATTTTTGATTAAACACCTAACACCTGAGAAAACCTGGGTGGAAAGTTTTTCGTGCCCCACCCGGTATATTTTTGTGATATTTCAAATGTTACATACATTCCTTTGAAGATGTGATAGAAGATGAGGTAAGGAGTTAATTCAACCGTAACACAAACTCAATAGTTTTTGAGATATTTCAGTGCTCCTGTTTTTCTTGATAACATAGACCTAACTGCCTCAAAAATAAATTAACAAAAAATCTACCGTACATTTTTCAACTTTTGTATTGGATAACTTGCCCAACACTATGGTCTTATGTTTATAATATCTGGAAACATTTCCGTCATGGGAAAATTTTTAATAAAATCTCTTCAAAAATAATTTTCGGAAATACGGTATCAGAATTTCTTATCGGTTGTTTTTATGAAACTAATCAAGCAACATGTGGAAATTTTGAAAAAAAAATCCCTATTTCAATAGGTATCCAACAAGGTACAAAGGATACCAAAAACGATCCAAGGTTCCAAAAAAAAAATAGTATACATGGTGCAAATGAGAGAGTTTATTCACTCGGTTCCTTATTTTGGTTACTTATTTTTGCTGATACTACGGCAGTTTGAATTTATTTGCCGGATATTTTTTAAAACAGACATATAAGACCCATAGTGTTGGGCAAGTAATCCGGTAGAAAAGTTGAAAAAATCTACGGTACATTTTTTGCTAATTAATGTTCAAGGCAATTAGGTCTATGTTTGAAAAAAAAAAAAATAGAAACATTGAAATGTCTCAAAAAAAAATTGAGTTTTGCGTAAACTATGTTACGGTTAAATTTAATCCTTACCTCATCCCCTATCACATCTCCAAAGGAATGTATCGAATTACCAATTATATATACATTTAGCTATCACACTAATTCAAAACTGCCTCTTATTGAGCGGTGTCGTAGAATGAATATTTTAATAGGATTATTCAATATTCTAGCTTCTTTGCAATTTTAATAATGGAAACTAGATTAGCATTACGAAATAAAAGCAAAAGTAAGCAAAAACATTATGCAAGCCGTAGATAACAACAATGTCCGTACGGGTTTACACTGATAACAGTACACCATTCAATTCAAATAATAAATAACATGCAACATAATACTCCCATTGAACAGAATTGCCGTAAGAGAGGTACGGTATCCTGGCTAGAGTACTAGTCAGTGTTAAAAGTTTTAGTCAGTTTTTGGTTCAGACCGACAAAAGAGTAACGCCAGTGCTGATCTCTTCGTGTCCGTGGAACAGTATTCGCTCAATAACCTCCGTCGCGAATGGACGTAAGACAGTACCACCGTGTATCATTTCACTTTTACCTTCGTTCTAGTACCGCGCAGTGACCGTGAACCGCGAGGAAAGAAAACGGTGCCAAAAATCTTTATTTTCGAACAAGGTAAAGTTCTTTGGTCTACTTTTTTTTCGGTGAGATGAGTATTATGATAGACTAGAGGATTTTTTATCGCAATTATAAAAAAAAAATGATATGTAGGTTATAGCTCACAAAATTGTGATGTGAATTATAAAAAAAAAAACAATCAACCATTTAAATTTTCATTGAGTATGACATGCCTGTTTTAAGATTTTGTTAAAAAACAATATAAAATTCGTAAGTAGAAATGCTTGCCTATTTCATAGCTCGTAGAAAATGCTGTCACTAAATCAAAATAGTAGATTTTGATGTAATCAATTTGATGACAATTTTACCTATAACGTATCCGGGTAAGCTAAAATACCACCAATAATATACTGGTTTTGTTCTTTTAGCATTCATCAAAATGTTGACCTAGGACATAAAAAAAAACTAGTTTTGTTTTTGGATATACATAGATACCTACTTCAAATTCAAATAATAATTTTTACACTTTAGTGAAAATGCGTTGGTCAATTTTTGAAAAAATTAACTTCGATTCCCCCAAGAAATTTTCAAGTCTATAAGTAATCTTGTTTCTACAGACGATAAACAAAACGTTTTCATTTTAACAAAACACTCATTCCTTTGTTTACCCCAACAGGAATTTCACAACAAATAACTTCCGTTAAGGACACGCAAATAAGTGTTAAAAACGTGATAATAAGTGAAAGTGTCATTTTAGAATGAAATAGCTCGCACGAGTACCATAAGAGAACCAACATTTCCCAGTTCCCACACACGAACATTTTGAATTTCGTAATAACGGCATTACTGGCAGAAAATAATTATTGCAATACTCACAATGGATTTTAAAATTGTTCTTCTGGGATTACAGTTTGATGCCTATTAAGTTTAGGTACATAGTTGGAATTTAATTGGACAGATATGTCGTTTGTTTATTGTAGTTGTGCAAAAATTTTGTTACATTACAATATTATTAGGCACATTACATTTATTGTAAGCTGTGAGTAAAATCCTCAACAATTCAATGCTATTTTTGGTCCTTCAAGAAAATATATCGTTAAGCAATCAAGTGCGAATTGAGTGTCCTTTAATGTGCTGCATTATGGACATGAAACTATTTATTTGGATTGAAGATAGTGAAAATGGACTGCAAGAGAAAGTTGTCTGTGTTGTCTCAGTATATCAAATATTTTGTAATAAATCTTGTTCAAGTCCACAGTTCAATATTAATAATGTGGTAGATTAACTAGTTTTTTTTTGTTGTTGTTGAAAGTAAGGCGTCTTTTGTGCCCAAAAAATAACACACTCGTAGTATTCTTTAACAAAATGACTGCAAGTTAATAAGAGAGATCTGCTAAATAGGCAACCTGCCGTGTGTTTGCTAAAATTTTCCAAAAATTAAAAGGAATAAATAAATTCTGGGAACTAAGTATACTCACAATTGATTTTCATATTACTTGTCTGAATGGAAATATCAAAGTAGATACAGGTTGTTCTTACAATAAAAACTTAATTGGTTTATAATTGGGTTACAATTTATCCTATACCAGCTTTTACCCACATTTTTCAAATCTTTAGTGCTCTCTGTCCATCTTTCTTACCATCTCTGAATCAGTCTCTCTCTGGCCTCTCTACGTGCTATTATTTTTAATGCGTTGGCTGCTTCGTATACTTCAGTCTTTTCCTCCATTATGAGGTCGATAGGGGGTGTCTCTGCTATGATGAGCAGGGCATGCATGGAGACCGAGCAGTATGCACTTGTAATTCTTTTTGCAGATTTTCTTTGGAGTTTCTCATATGTTTTTCTGTTGTGTTTTGTTTTCATGGCATCTTGCCAAGCGGGTACTGCGTATAGCAGTATAGAGTTGAGGACAGAGCACAGCAGCCTTCTCTCCGCAGCTTGGGGACGGCCGACGTTGGGCATCAGTCTTCCAAGCGCCATTATGGTATTTTCGGCTCTAGTGGCAGTTTGTTGTACATGTTCTCTGAATGTCAATTTGCTATCTATCCAGACGCCCAAATATTTCACTGCCTTTTTAGGTATAATTTCCCTATCCAGTATTCGAAAGGTTGTTTGTGGAATGTGCTTGTTTGAGGAGAGTATGACTATTTCCGTTTTTTCTGTAGCTAGCTCTAGCTAGTTGTCTTGTAGCCATTTCTGTATCAGTTTCATTGACGTCTCCATTTTGATCTGTAGTTCTCTAGTGTCGTTTCCCGTTATTACCATGGCTATATCATTATTATATTATATTATCATTACATTATCGGCGCTAGATGAACCCTGGCTTTTACCATGAATTCCTCGCATAAAAAAAAAACAAATAACCCTACTTCAGCCTAAAAAACACAGTACAAAATTTGTCAAATTAATGTCAACATTTTCCTTTTTTTTTTCAGGTTAAAATTTTAAAGTGAGATGTTTACAAAATGGACGAATGTTGGAGTGATTATAGCTGTCCTAATTAGTGGTGTGGTGTCTTTAGAAAATGGGTTAGCACGAACGCCTCCTATGGGTTGGTTGGCGTGGGAGCGATTCAGATGTAATACGGATTGCAAAAATGACCCTGACAACTGCATAAGGTAAGGTATCCAATAATAATAAACTGGTTAATATGGGCGACCTAGGAACACTTAACTTAATCTCAATAAGTGCATTCTCTTCTTTCTATAGGTACTACTCTTATAGCATTTTTATCTTCCTCTAATTTAAATTCACATAAAATGCTACAATTCTGGAGCAAAGAGTAAAATAATCAATTTTAGTTTTAAAAATGTTTAATAATTATAATTAAATAAATCATTGGATACATTATTTGTTTGTCTTGTTAACGATAAATTCTGTTTGGGAAATCTCCAGCATAAACTTCTGTTTTCTTCTTAGTTTCTACCTAAAAGGAAAAAAAAGCAAAACTTACCTGGTAGGTATCTATCTCAAAACTAATTAAGATTCCGCTATTGTGAAGGTTCCCTTTGCTCACCCATTTCCAAATTTTCATAGTTTTCTGTCAAAGATAAATCCAATCCTGGTGTTTGGCCCATTTTAAATTACGCCTGACTTTGTCAGCGTTCAGCGCATATTTTTGGTGGTTCTCCCACCGCCTTGAACCTTTTTCATAGTTCGAGAAGGGAGGCTTCGTTTTAGTACCAGTGGTCACGGAGCCTTTCCTTTGTCAAGAGCTTTTGATTTTCATCAAGTCAAGATTTGTGAAAATTGGCGTAGACCACAATATATTTTGTGAGCACAGTAGATCCAGTTTTGAGATTTTTGGTTCTCGAGCGATTTTATAAGTTATTTGGGATAATTACTTCATGTAAGTTGCACGTGCCTCGTGGTAAGACTTTAACATCTCCCAATGGTTTTTTATCTTTATAGATCCATTTTTGATTATCCATATTTGCTTTCGAAATTGCTGCTGATGTTCGCATTGGAATTTTCACTTCCTATTTTATTGGAGGGTCCAAATCCAAATGCAGAGTCAAGCACAAGCGAGAAATATCTAAAGATGTTTAAGGAAAATCCAAACCGTGCAGATACTGGTCCGAGTTGTAGTTTTGGACGTTCTGGTCCACTTTGCGTCCAATTGATCTCTACGTCTACGTACCCCTATATATCCAGCTTCGAATCCGTCCAGAGCCCAATAAGCCAGATTTGGGACTTTGGATACACAGACAACCTAACAGGTTTGCTAGAGATTAAGGCAGCTCAGTGAAAAACCAAACAGAAAAGAAACGCTCCAAACTATACATTTTCTTATATATTATTCTTTATTTTTTGAAATATTGGTCTATTTATCTATCACAGATGTGACCACTGACGACAATAGCTTGTCTGCTTCGGGCCTCCTATGTTAGGCAAAAGCCGTGATAGGATGGTTCTGACGCATGAAGCCTTGATGTTAGCGTGCTCCGCTTGCTGCTTGAAGTTTAGTCGGACATCTATCATCATTCCCAAATACCGAATAAACGGCTCAGATGTGAGCTCATACTCCCCGACTTGCAGCTTAATCGTCTCTACTTTCTTTCTACTGGTGATCAGCACCGCTTCGGTTTTATGTTCTGCTAGCTTCAGGCTAACCGAGTCCATCCACACAGATATCCTCTCAAAAGTCATATCGAAGATGAAGGTAATTTCTTCTAAGTGCTTTGCCACTATCAGCACAGCTACGTCGTCTGCGAATGCCACGAGTTTCGCCCTCTTCGGCAGCATCAGCTTCAGCAACCCATCGTACAAGATATTTCAAAGGAGGGGACCCAGGACTGACCCCTGAGGCATACCCCCGGTGACTCTGTACTCTTTGTGACCAATCTCTGTGTCATACTTGAGGACTCTGTCGGCGAAGTAGCTAACTACCATCCTCTGTAGGTATCCAGGTTCTGCCATCTTGCCAAGAGCCCCCATGATGCAGTCCCATCTGGCTGAATTGAAAGCATTCTTGATATCCAGGGTCACAACCAGACAGTACTTTTTCGCACCTCCGTCCCATCTTGCCCCTGATATGTTGACGACGAGGTGTTGACGACGAGGTCAATAGCACCAAGAGTGGAGCGACCGCTCCGGAAACCATACTGGTTTTCCGCTGGTAGGGGATCTATTGATGCTTCTATCCTCCTATGAACGATACACTCGAGGATTTTACCAGCGGTTTCTAGCATGCAAAGCGGACGATACGATGAAGGTTCGTCTGGTGGCTTTTTCCCCTTGGGGAGGAGCAGTAGTCTCTAGTCTCTGCTGCTGAGGGAAGGTTCCCTCCGCAAGGCATGCATTGTATACCTCCAAAAACTGTGCAGAAACTGCGTTGATGACAGCTTTCAGCGCGATGTTCGGTATCCCATCTATGCTAGGAGCCTTCGCGTTCCCGACTCTGCTACAAGCTTCCTCCACTGTGATTCGCGGAATCGGCTTTACCTGGCACTCTTGCGGAACGTGAAGAAGTTCCGGCAGTTCAGGAAACAGTACTGAGACGATCTTCTCCAAGAGTTTGAGGTAAGTTGGTGGTGCCATTGGTTCGTTTTTAAGCCGAGTCGTGACCACGTACATGGCCACGTGGATGGCCTGCCCCATGGATCACAGTCGACTTCGTCTAGCAGCTGACTCCAGCATTTCTTCTTGTTGGACTTGATGGCTTTGTTAAGTCTCTTACGCGCATCTTTGTATTTTGCCTCCAATTCGCCGAAGTCTGGTTTCTTCCACGGAAGCTGTGATGTTCTTCTCGCTTTCACACGGTCACGCCGCTCTCCGCGAGCGGCGATCTCATCACTCCGCCAATACACCGGTGGCAGACGGTTTCCGGGGCAAAGATGCATCACAGGCCTCGGTTACCCTCCTCATGATGTTCGCGGCTTTCTCGGTAGCTCCACTGCCACTGATCGGATGATCAGTGCTACTAGGAATGAGCCGGGATCGAACGTGCCCACTTTCCAGCCGACGTTTGTCTTTCAGTTTGTTGGTCTCGTCTTTCCACCAGTGGATATCTTCCAGACCACTGCGCAATGATCACTGGCAGTGTACATATCCATCACCAACCAAGAGCAGTTTCCTCTGGTAAGACTACTGCTTACGAAGGTGAGGTCCACAGCAGAACTTGTCTCTCGTTTTGTAAACGTGGACTCATTACCACTAGTCAGCAGCACCATGTCCAGAGTGGATATTGCCTCTAGTAGTGATTGTCCTCGCTCGTTGGTCTCTTTGCTTCCCCAATCCACCGCCCAGGAATTGAAGTCCGTGGCAATTGCCACGGGAGAGCGCCGCTTCTCATCCTCGGTCAGCTGATCTAAGAAGTCTATGAATTCATCGAGTGAGAGGCTGGGTGGGGTATAGCAGCTGTAGAAATAAATTCCGTTCAGCTTAGCTACTACAAAACCAGCCTCTGCAGGACCAAATAGCGGCCTTAGTCGTAGCATCCGTCTCCCAGGGTTGTGTGTCAAGATTTCTATATGGATCCAAAATCAACGCAAGATCAGGCATCAGTTCGCGCACCGTCTGCATAAGCAGATCATGCGCAGCTTCACAATGGTTGAGGTTGAGCTGGAGTATCTTCATTCTCGTTTATTTCTCACCTTCTGAAGTGCCTCTATGAACACTGGGCATCTGCTGCTACCAGTGATGTGGGCGCGTTGTGTTGCCTTTCTCAACGCACAAGGCGCAGCGAGCGTCTTTTGGGCATGCAGCAACTTTGTGACCATCTTCTCCGCACTTATTACAGAGACTGGACCAGTTCACTTTCTCTCTCACGTAGAGGCGAGATGTTCATAGTGCCAGCACTTGTAGCACTTGGTGGGTGTCTCCGCTGTTCTTATTCGGCAGTTGACCCATCCAATCCTGATCTGGCCGTGATCGCCAAGCACCTTCTTTACTGTGATTTTGCCAATTTCACCGAGGCAGTCTGTGTCCCCCCATAGACTTTACGTAGTGATTTGATGGCATCCAGCGTAATATCGCACGTATCTTCCGCCGCTTTCTGCAGGGCTTCGAGGATTTCTTTCCTTGTCGTCAATTCGTCGAGATCTCGAATTTCGAGGTCCTCTTGCGGCCCTTTAGTAATGACCTCGGCATCATCCCCAAGGAGGGCGGCTATGGTTTTTTGAAGACCATGACCTCTGTCTGCGTTCTTCTTAGTGAGGATGATCAATAGATCTCCAGTGGTCGTGTTGCGGAGCTTGCCAACCGAGACACGAACCTGATCATTGGGTTCGAACGTCCTTCTTCATCCGACTAAGTATTTCTGCATATTTTCCTTTTTCCTTCGGCCGGACGATCAGTGCATTGGGTCTAGTCACCGGCAACCTCTTCTGTTAGTGCTGCTTTGAGCGCTGTTTCTTCTCCTTTATGGTCATCACCTGCTGCCACTCCGTAGTTTCCAGAGGCTGGGCTGCTCTGTTGTGAATGGAGGTGGTCCTGCCTCCTTCCTCTTCTTAGGCTCCTTGGCCTCGAATCCTGGTGACATCCGTTTTCTCCGTTTTGCCTTGCGGTTCACGCGAGCGTCACCGGTGACAGATTCATTTTCACCGTCGAGCTCCCTGTCCTTGGCCGTCATTTTGGTAAGTGTCCGACAGCGCGGCGTTTGTGGCATGCACACAACTTCTGGACTACGATAGTAGGAAGTGTGTCTTCCAGAGATTTTAGTCTTATGAAGGCACTACCAATACCAGCCACCCTGGTTTTGATCTCTTTGTGGACGTTTATTCTCGGTCGCACAAACTCGTGAAGCTCGTTGATGAGTTTTTCGAGACGATCCCACGCTTGCGTCCTCTTCATATCACTACTTCCATCCAGTGCTGCTTTTTGGGCATGATGCCGGATCTTTTCTCCTTCATCTCCGTTTTTTTCCAAATTTAAGTTCTCCATTCTGTTTCCACGAGTACCTAGGGAAATAATTTTCCACTCTAGCCCCGGTTGCTAGAGTAAGGCCACCAAATTACACCTAGGAAGGAACCTGGTACCTCAGGGGAACCGTTTGGGACGACCTGCGACGTCCTTTACCCCGACGCCTTCCAGTTTAATGGCCCGGTATCTTGACACCTTCACATTTGGGGGTGTCCGCGGGAGCTATTTTATTTCACTCCTACCCTCTGCCCGAGAACGGACATCGGGCTTTTCCCTATCCGCAACCTGCCGACGCGCCAAGTGGCAGTATCACCTCTGCCTTTACCCAATGTAGGTTCATGGTGTATGTATGTATGTATGTATGTATGTATGTATGTATGTATGTATGTATGTATGTATGTATGTATGTATGTATGTATGTATGTATGTATGTATGTATGTATGTATGTATGTATGTATGTATGTATGTATGTATGTATGTATGTATGTATGTATGTATGTATGTATGTATGTATGTATGTATGTATGTATGTATGTATGTATGTATGTATGTATGTATGTATGTATGTATGTATGTATGTATGTATGTATGTATGTATGTATGTATGTATGTATGTATGTATGTATGTATGTATGTATGTATGTATGTATGTATGTATGTATGTATGTATGTATGTATGTATGTATGTATGTATGTATGTATGTATGTATGTATGTATGTATGTATGTATGTATGTATGTATGTATGTATGTATGTATGTATGTATGTATGTATGTATGTATGTATGTATGTATGTATGTATGTATGTATGTATGTATGTATGTATGTATGTATGTATGTATGTATGTATGTATGTATGTATGTATGTATGTATGTATGTATGTATGTATGTATGTATGTATGTATGTATGTATGTATGTATGTATGTATGTATGTATGTATGTATGTATGTATGTATGTATGTATGTATGTATGTATGTATGTATGTATGTATGTATGTATGTATGTATGTATGTATGTATGTATGTATGTATGTATGTATGTATGTATGTATGTATGTATGTATGTATGTATGTATGTATGTATGTATGTATGTATGTATGTGTGTATGTATGTATGTATGTATGTATGTATGTATGTATGTGTGTGTTAGAGGTGTCAGTTCCACCGTCTCTTAGGAATTTTAGGATGTCTAGCGGTTCCAGGGCTGGAATGTCTTCCAACTGTATAAGAGCACTTCCCAGGTTCTTCATCCTTGAGCGGCTAACGGCATCGCAGTTCAGTAGAAGATGGTGAGGTGTCTCTTCTCCGTCTTCACAGAATCTGCAGGTGCCACCTTCTTCTAACCCCAACTTCTGTAGGTGTAGGTGTTTCTTTTCTTAAGTCTGCAATGTTCCGAGAGAAACCCGGTTAGAGTCTTGAGTCTTTTCTTGCTAAGATTGACCAGCAGTTCTGAGCTTTTTTGATTGAAGTTGGCCAATAGATCTTTGGGCTGTCGTAGTCCTGGCTGTTCTAGCCATTATTTGTTCCTTAGCCGGTTCTCTTCTTTTTTGGAGGATTTCTTGGAGGTGCGCATTTCCGACGCCGCAAAATGGTTCTGGCCCATTGAAGGAAGTAGACGCTCCCTTTCTTGCGAGTCTGTCTACGCATTCGTTGCCCTCGACACCTATGTGTCCGGGCACCCAGAGGAGGGGTTACTTTGTTTTGTTTTCCCAGCTCACTTAGTTTCTGTAAATATTCCGATACTGTCTTAGAATTGATGAATGGTGATTTACTCATTGGCTCCGAATATTTGGTCCGCGGCCCGAATAATCCGGCGCCAGTTCCTTCAGCAGTTTTGGAACCGTCTGTGTACCAGTTGATGGTGTTTGCTTTAAGGGATTGGATAGATTTCATGTTCCATCTGTTTTTTGTTCTTAGTTCGATGGAAAAGTTTTTCTCGAAACTGAATTTATCAACAATCACGTCTTTTGGTAGATCCATGAGGTGTGCACAGTTTGGGAGAGGAAAAGTTCTGCCAAGGTGCATTTTCCTTTGTAGACCTATCTTCTCCAGTCTGAGACATGATCCACTGGCAACCAGCTTCACTATTATGTGGAGTGGTGTGTATTTTTTTTGTTTCATTGCGTATATTATTCAGATATTTGGAGAAAGAACCAAAACCCCGAAAATTCATGGATTTTCCCCATCAGGTTTTCCGTGATATACCTAATTATTTAAATACTATGATTTGACCAAATAGCGCTATAATATTTAACAATCATATAAGATATTAAAATTTATCTTCAAATTTCAATTTTTATAACTTTAATTACAAAATACTATATTATAGACGGTTTCAACTTAAAGTTGGTACTTTTAAAATTAAGTTTTTCTAGTTTTTCCCTAATTGACATCATTTAGACTGTAATTATGTAAATAATCCTTCACTTTTTAAAAAATTAGTGGCGTCCAAACGGCAAGGTCAAAATCAAGTCAATCTCTGAACCGATTTCCCAATGCCACTGATGAACAGCTGCCGTGCTTATATGTTTAGTATTTGTTTTCCGGAATCAGTAAAATAATTGCTACACTGTCATATATTGAACAAGCAGTTAAATCTTGTAGCATGTGTTGTGTTCACTTAGTGCAAGTGGCTACGACTGACCTCAAAATGTCGAGGCGAGAAGCCGACAGGTCTCTTGATAAACATATACAATGTTTGTGATCGATGGTTTTTCATAAAAATCCATTCATTATAACGGTTTATTATCTTGCTTAGGAATGCGTGACAGTTTTGCGTAAGGCGCCAGTAATTTGTTTGGAGAAATGTTAATAGAATCAATTGAATATAAATGATAATCAATTGATTATGGAATTTATAATGTGTTTCTAGACATTTTTGATGCATACTTATAACTTTTGATTGGATACATTATTCACAATCAAGAAAGGCAAATCATATATCTGAAAAATAACTCTTCTAATAAATAATTATATATTTAATATCCATAATTTTTCACGTGTAGCATCAACAAACCATTGACATAAATACGTTCCTTGGCACTTTTTATGCGTAATCACTATAATTTTGAAAATGATTCACTCAATGAAACATACTTGACCCAATTTTTATGATAAATACCGTGTCATAAGTCTTCTTCTTGTTCTCCTGGGCTCAATTCTGAGTCAAAAATCACACATTCCAATCATTATTGTAGCTGCCGGTTATTACATTGAATTATTAATGAGAATACATTTCCGGATAGTTGATAAAGCTTAATTATAAGATGGTGCTATCAAAGCTGTGAAGTTTCCTTTTGCAAATCTCAATAACTATTTGCACAATAGATTTATCTGTCACGCAAAACTGCAATTATCATATAACCAATTATTTATCTAATACCACGTCTATTATTAACACAAAACAAAGGTCAAAATTCTTGACATCTAAGCCGATTAAAATATTTTTCCTAAAAATTTAATGGACATATCAAGGCAAAGATGAATAAATAAAACCAGACAATGATTGTGTTGTAGTTTACCATTAATGGACCTCATTTCACATTCAGATATTATGATAATTCTATTCTAGGTGTCATTTTTATTTACTAGACAAAAATTTAATTAATACATAGTAGCATTATCATTTCGGAAGATTCAAATAGGTAGGTACCTACTCCTGCTACTATCGTAGATTTAATATTAATGAGAATCTACGAATAGTAGCAGGAATTATAGATCCCAAAATGTTCAAATTAGGATATGGGATATGTACCTACTTTGAGAACTCACTATAACAAATTTCAAACAAATTAAAAATTATTACAATGAACAAGTAAATGTCTTTCTAGAACATTCATTCACTTAAAGTCTAATTCTGGAAGAACTTAGATGTGGACATTTAATGATGTAACTCGCTTGCTATTGTTCTTATAATAAATCACATATTGCTGGTTAAGACATTTCGTATTCAAAAAAAAAATCCACTAAATTGATATTTTCTTGTCAAATTTCAGTGAAAATCTCTTCAGAACAATGGCGGACCTCTTGGTGAACGAAGGTTACGCTAATGTGGGTTACGAATACGTTAACGTCGACGACTGCTGGTTGGAGAAAGAAAGAAACCAGTACGGCGAATTAGTACCTGATAAAACCAGATTCCCCAGAGGAATGAAAGCCTTAGCCGATTACGTAAGTCTTAATTCGATTTTGTTTTGATTTTTGTCTATGTTTACGGTAGTGCGTTTAAATCAGATATGAGTTTGTCTTAGCAGCGTAACGGAGTGCTAATCTTAATTTAATTAAATTTTAATTTCTAGGTTAAGATTTTCATGTTAGATAAAAGTTTACTCGTTTACTGGTTGTATTTTTTGTAGGTGCATTAATCAAATTCATCTATTTATTTTTCAATCCTTCTTTTACCTTTTCCGGGCCGAACAATAGTTTATATTGAATACCTTTCGATGTTTTTTTTTTTTTAATTATTAATCAATTGATTGTTTACAAAACTAAAACAACTAATCGTCAGACCAGGGTAAATATATCACACTGGTGTTACTTAAGATTCAATCTATCCAGAACAATAAGGCCAATTAATTGCATGTGCTCCTGGAAAGTATAGTTTTCAGATGTTATCCGTCTCACAGAACACTGGCTTGTAAAAGAAGAAATAATAACGCTTCCACAAATATAATGTTGCATCTAAGTTTTGTAGGAGTGTAGGAGTATATCAATTCATGCTGATTGATATTGGTTAGGGAAACTTATAGCGATAGGGCAGGCTTTGTATGTTCTAGTGATTATTTGATATCTGAAAACAAATTTGAACTCTCGTTTTGGAACAAAGAAAGATTTTTAAAAATCCTAGAATCTTCTGCCAACAGGTTCAACAATATTGGCATGAGGGGACTTTAATACCGATTACCAACGTAATAGTAATTATATTGGTAACCTAGTGGACGGTTTTATTTTATGTTTGGGAACCAAGTCGATTTAATAAATATTCATCATCAACCCTCGATTATTTATGTTCCAATGTAGCGCGTCTCCTGTGCTGTCTTGACATGACAGAGTTTGAGTTGAATGTTGAGCCTTTGAGGAAATTATATACGCCTGTGGAGCTTATAGCAGGAGGAACTTTTGCCTGAGAATACTGTGGGAGGTTTAGGTTGGATGTATCATTAGCGGTAGATCCCCAGATTCACATTCTTCTCTATTAGGCTTTTGACTACTTTTCCATCGGTCCGATTGGAGAGAAAAGAGAAAAAATGGCTTACTGAAGTTATAAGAAGCATCATCAAGAAATATTCTCGCTTTGCACTACCTCAGTTATTTCTTTCCGGATGGTTTAGATTTTCCATCATACGTCAACCATTATATACATTAGGAACATATTTAGAAGGGTCGTGACTCGGCAAAGGGGATTCATTATAGAGAGATATCAAGCTCTCAAAATGTTCCCTAAAGAAACTTGGTCAATAATAATTGAATTTTACCATGAAAATACCGGATAACAGAATGAACCTTCTGAAATCTCTCCCAATGAATATAATGATAATTATTGTTCTGTTATTTATAAAAGGGGCAATATATTCTATGTTTCGCTTAGGAAGTCGAGACACAGGTAAGCCTGTTTTTCTTATGGAAGGAATAATGCCATTTGCAAGTTTATTTATTCTGGAAAGAGTATGTTTGTTGTTTAGAAAGTATAGGTGTTTGCTTAGTGAAGGATATTACAACACTAGGCTGACAATGGAATTAGACTGAGATATGGATTATGGATGTACAGAGAATGCAGCTCATAACCAAACCATCAAATAGCAGTCAAGTTCTAATCAAGGTCCTAGAAATCGAGGCGGCTTATAAAATATTTCTGAAGCAAAGATTAGAGCTTTATCGATTCATGAAGAAAAAGAGTCAATGAGAGAAGTTAATGGCACAATGTTGGATGAATTTCTGGAATAATTACGGAAGGCTGTTATCAGAATGAAACTCGAGAGGGAGCATTAAATGTTACCACTGTGGAAGAAGGGGATATTTTAGGCTTGACTGTAAAGTACAACTGAGATCTCACTTTCCTACTGAACACTGTCTACCTTTGATTGAGAGCTTGCAAAGCCGAGCATGCAAGAACTGCTTCAGAATTAATCAGCTAGAAAGAGTTCCTGTTAGAAGCTTTCGATTGGATTTGGATCAAGAACGGATCCCCTAATAGCTGGAAGGAAACAACTGGAAGAGAGTGACCTCGAGCTCGAATCATTTCTCGAGATTAGGGAAGCCGGGGATATACTAACGGAATGTAGAAAAGAAAAATCCGGCAACCAAAGAAGAAACAACCAGGAGTAAGAAGATGGGTCGATTACGACTCATGCTGATTCAGAAGGACAAAGTTATCCTTCAAACGGCCGATCTGCGAATTTTCATGGAGGAGTGCTACGATCATCCACGGAAGCGCAGGAAAGGCAGTTGGCGGCATTGCAATCAACAGAGAACAGGACTATGCAGCCATTCGTGTAGTATCCATGACCTCAATCCAAGGGAAGAAGAGCCATGCTTACACGAGGGTAGTAAGTCAGGAAGGCCTAGCGGTCTAAGGCGCTGCGTTCAGGACGCAGTCCATTTAGAAAAGCATAGAGGTGTTAGGCAAGGGAATAGATTAAATCATTATGGATCTAGGGAATAGATTAAATCATTATGGATCTGAGTGGATATCTAGATAAAGAAGCGGAGATGGTAGATTCAGATCGGGACCATTGGACGGGCAAAAGTCTTACGATATTACCCGGCCAAATTTTAAGAAATGCAATTGTCTGCGCGTCGCGTGAACAATTCTGAGAATTCTATAAGTAGGGCACTAGGTTTTTCTAGATAAATCCCTAGTACACCCGAGTGTCTCCTATATAAATAGCGCGAAGTAGTAGCTTAAGTAAGTAAGTTACTCTAACGAGTGTGAAAGATTAGAATGACGAAGTCATTCGTTGTTTACCAAGGTACCAGTGAATCAGGCCTTATAGTATCTGAAATATGTTTTTCCGAAGGAAGTCAACAACTCATTTCATTTCACCACTGTCTGCCGACTTCGCACTTCCAATGGCAAAATAAATTCTTTGAGCAGACAGATTGAGTCGCAATGGGGAGTCCACTCAGCTTGGTTATCGCCAACTTCTACATGGAACACTTCGAACAAATGGGACACAGAGTATATAAAAAGCGGAGGCATACGAACAGTACTATCAACAAGGAATCCAATCACCATCCTAGGCAAAAGAAGGGAGTAATTAAAACTCTCTGACAGGGCAATCTGGATTTGTGAACCCAGATACCTTCAGGACGAGATGCAACACCTGAAATCAGCTCTTGAAGGAAATGGGTACTCCAAGCAGGAGATAAATAGAGCTATAAGACCGAAGCAACAGCGCACAAATGATAAGGAACCAGCACAGGTGGCAGGGAGAGCTTTTCTTCTCTACATAAAAAATGTCACAGATCGTATAGGACGAACGCTAGAAAAACCCAACATTGAGCCCATCTACAAGCCCACAAGAACAATTCAGCAAAGTCTAAGATCGGCTAAGGATCCTAGGGCACCTCTTGAAATGGCTGGCGTCTATAGAATTCCCTGCTCTTGTGGATCTGTATATGTTGGAACAACCAAACGCTCTATCAACACCAGGGTCAAAGAGCACAAAAGAAACTGTCAGCAGGGACAAATAGATAGATCAGCAATCGCTGAACACGTGCTAACACATACGAACTATGTCATTCGTTTCGACCAGACTCAAACATTGGATAGGAGCAAACATTTTTACACCAGGCTCCACAGAGATACAGAAACACCACAACACTTTAACAGAAAAGAATATGGCAAGAACCTTGACAAAAGCTGGTTGCCAGTTCTCCGAAAAACCAAAACCCTTCCTTTCCGAGAAGGAGACAAGGAAAATAGCGTAAAACAAGCCACGCCCACAACCCTGGATATAAATAACGCAGGTCCAACAACGTCGAATCCAGTCATCGGAGGAACACGGAAGCGAACACTTCGTCCTCTACCACACCGCAGCAGTAGACGAAACGTTAGGTAGAAATATTACTCGACCACGGCATTATAGCCCGGGAAAAACTTTTTTACCACTAGTTGTGTTCTGAGTCATATAATATAACCCAAATACCAGAAAAATGGTGATGTAAAAACGTTATAACTAAACGCTTGTAGATAAAAGTTATTACTGTTTGTGTAGTGAGTTTTAGTGGATCCTGAATCCGTGACAATACATATACCTGAACTATTCCTGTTGAGCAGGAGGCTGGCTGAATTCCGAAAAGGAAACAGTAGCTCATCTTGAAATGAGAACGCGTCCGACTATAAGCGTCGTGGTGAGGAAAAAATCAGATCATACAAATCTTTCATGAAATTTTAGCAGTGTTGCCAATCGGCGGAGAATTGTGCGGAGATATTTTTATATCATTATTGACGTAAAAATTAAAATTTATTCAAAAGTTCAGCTAAAATAAAAATTTAAGAAGATATTTGGGATTCAGTGATTCGGTACAAACAGGTGACTTATTGGACATAAATGATATGACATAAAGTCTGTTTTTTTTTAAAGATAATTTCCCGAATCCAAAATTTAGTAACTATTTTGGCAACACAAGCCTTTTCTAGATAAAAAAAAAAGTCGCGTGCAGCACAGTACACGTAATAGAAGTGAATACTTATTAGTGAGTGAGTGAGTGAGTGAGTGAGTGAGTGAGTGCGTGGGTGAGTCAGTGAGTGAGTGAGTGAGTGAGTGAGGGAGCGAGTGAGTGAGTGAGGGAGCGAGTGAGTGAGTGAGTGAGTGAGTGAGTGAGTGAGTGAGTGAGGGAGTGAGTGAGTGAGTGAGTGAGTGAGTGAGTGAGTGAGTGAGTGAGTGAGTGAGTGAGTGAGTGAGTGAGTGAGTGAGTGAGTGAGTGAGTGAGTGAGTGAGTGAGTGAGTGAGTGAGTGAGTGAGTGAGTGAGTGAGTGAGTGAGTGAGTGAGTGAGTGAGTGAGTGAGTGAGTGAGTGAGTGAGTGAGTGAGTGAGTGAGTGAGTGAGTGAGTGAGTGAGTGAGTGAGTGAGTGAGTGAGTGAGTGAGTGAGTGAGTGAGTGAGTGAGTGAGCGAGCGAGCGAGCGAGCGAGCGAATGAGTGAGTGAGTGAGTGAGTGAGTGAGTGAG